CGTCTCGGGGTGGGGGGGTCTCTGACCCTAACGCTCCCAGGCAGGGGGATCCAGTCCCCGCAGGACCGGCCCAGCCCCTGACCCTGGCTCCAGGCCAAAGGGGGCGCTCCCCGGAGCTCTGGCTCGCCCTCCTGTCCGGTGGGACGGGGGGTCAGGGCACCTGCAACCCCCTTCGCCACCGCCCTGACCCGGGTGACCCGAGATCCTCCACCTCCGCCGGGGACAGGACGCTCCGTCCCCAGACCGAGGCCGGCCCGGCCAGGACCCCCAGCTCCCGCCGCCAAGCACGCGGCTTCACGCCCACACCGAGGCCCAGGAGCCGGGCGAGCGGCCCCGGGAGCGACCGCCAGCTCCCCTCAAACGCTGGGACTTCACCCCCAGGCTCCACGCTGCCGCGGGAAACCCCCGGGCCGCCCCGCGCCGAGGCCCAGGCTCCCGTCGGCCTCGGGTCCGCCCCTCAGCCTCCGCCCGCAGCCTCCGTTCCCGGCCCCCGCGGGCCCGCGCCCCCGCCCCTCGCCAACTCCTCACCAGCCCCGGAGGCTCCGTCGACGCCCAGCAGCGCGAACCCCAGCAGCACGAGCCGCGCGGCCGCCATGATGTCTCGTCCCCGCCGGCGACACCGCCTCCAACTGCCGCCGCCGCCGCCCGCGGCCGCTATAAGAACCGGCGGAGGAGGCGCGGGCCGAGCGCGCGCACGCACGGCGGCGACGCAGGGGCGGGGCGAGCGCGGGGCATGCCGGTCGCCACACTTGCGCACGCGCGCACAGGCACGCGCCAGCTCCCGCAGGCGCCCGCTACGGAAGCCGGCCGGCGGCGCACGTGACGCGGCGTTGCTAGGAAACGGGAGGGGCCTGCGCGGAAGCGACTGGAGCATGCGCATTTCTTCCTCCCTGCTTTCCAAGTGGGAGTCCCGGGCGCCGCGCTCGAGGGGGTTGAATTGAAGGGTGTTACCGCCGGGCGTGGGGGCTCCTGCCTGTAACCCCAGCACTCTGGGAGGCCGAGGCGGGCGGGTCACGAGGTCAAGAGATCGAGACCGTCCTGGCCAACATGGTGAAACCCCGTCTCTACTGAAAATACAAAAATTCTGCCGGGCGCGGTGGCTTACGCCTGTAATCCCAGCACTTTGGGAGGCCGAGGCGGGTGGATCACGAGGTCAAGAGATCGAGACCATCCTGGTCAACATGGTGAAACCCCGTCTCTACTAAA